CACCCAATTATGTAAAATAGAGCTATCAATCTGATTAATTTGCTTGTGGGTTTTATCTAAAAGCTTCCCTGAGGTTTTATTTCGTGAAACCAGATGTCCCACAGCGGTACGTTTTTGTCACAACTCTGCAGCAGACACACAGATTCAGTCATGACCTTCTTATTCATGCTTCTGGGGCATGAAGACATGCCAATCCTCCAGGATCATGTTACATGTTTTTAGCGTCGTTGGTTCTCGTTTCAAATGTTTGGTGTCTGATACACACAATCCCAATCATGGATGTTAATTTAGAAACAGAAAACTAACATTTTTTGCTCTAAACAATCAACACTTAAGCTAAAATATGCTCTGTTCCCTCTCATCTCTCTGCTCATAGAGTTTAGTGTGGCACTGATTCCTTCAACTACAAAAAGCCAACATTTTTGGTGTAAAAGCCAGATTTGTCATTTAGATGTGCTGCTCTCACTCACACATAAAGCAGTTCTGATTTGCTCTCATTTTTCTGCTTTCAGATACAGCCCTGCTCACTTGAACATGCTTTTCTTCTGTTTTAATTCTGCTCATGTTGCTGAAACTTGAAAAATCCATGATCACAACTCTCTCAAATCTTCTCAGAAACTCTGCGTTTAAGACGGACCAATCCACTTTACTGATTTTGAATCTTGTTTTGCTCTTGCTCTGAAGTCTGAAAGTAGCTTATAGCTGACAGAGATGAACTGTTACTATGTGCCTCCAAAGTTTTTTTTGCAGAAAATTTGCCTGTTTGTGGATTTTTTTGTCGAACAAAATGAAACAAACTGAAAAACGTACCAATCAAGTGGCTTAACACACTATTGGCTGGCATTTACAAAGCAGCCAATTCAAGAGCGCCTTTCATTTCTCTTGTTGATTGGATGCTAGCGTTAGCAGTAGTGGTAAGACAGTTTCTGTTGTGCATATTAATGCAGGTTAACGTATATTTAGTGTTTGAGCTACTGAAGCAGTCAGTTGGAAGCGTTTCACAGGAGGTATTTGATTTTAGCCGTTGTGGTCCCAAACTCCCCCAAATACCAGGGCTCCACTGTAGGCAATTGCTTTAAAGTTACATAGATTTAAATCAAAGAGCAGATGAACACGCAAACATCTTTGAGTGGTCAAGTCTTTTGCTGTAAAGAAACTCTATCCATTTAGGATCTTTTTTTTGTTTTATTCAACCACGTTTTAAGCCAGAGCGGCACCGTGACGACTTTAAGCCGTGCCACGAGTCAATGAAAAACTAAAGTCTTATTTTTGTTCCACTGTGCAAGCAACTAGTTGATTTAATATGATGTTTATGAAGAAAGATTCATATTTCAAAAGCCACATTTCTGAAGCTGGGAATGATTCAGTGCTGGAGTCCAGACAGGCCTTCAACTTTGATCCTCCTCAGCCTTTGTGATTTGCTTATTTTTGAGAAATTTGTGCAAAGTTCAGGGCTTTTTTTCGCCCCATTATATCTGAACACAGAGCTCTACAATGTAGGCATTAATTGCTGAAGCTGGGTGCAGGACGAGAACAGAGCAATCCCTTTGCTTTCCCATGGTCGTCGTCACTGCGCCTGGGTGGCAGCCGTCTGATGATCTGGAGATTTTAAACACGTTCTGTGTGCAGAAGATGTGTCTGCTTTTAGATAACGCCTGAAAAAATGCTTTGATCTGACAAACGATGAAAAGATGCAATCAGATTTACATCTTCCTCCCTGCAGCAGTGATTAAACCACAGGCAAAAAAACCCCCGACATTTTTCCAGTGCATTTCTTCTGCTTCTTCAAAGATATTCGCCGTAAATATAAATAAATTCAGAGAAAATTGAAAGACATACTTGTTTTTTTGTAATCTTCTGTGTTTATTTAATGGATGGAGTAGAAGTTGGTGATCTGAAGTTGAGCTTTCGTTTTGCTCTGCTGGTGTGAAAGTAAGTAATGAAGTCAATAAAAGACTAAAGAAAATGTTATTTCTGGATCAGGATAGAAATTTCTCTGTTATTTTGAAGTTGTACTTGATGTGCTAAGATAAACTACTAAGTATTATATAGCGCGTCATTTTATAGTTTCCTTCCAAGCAGCCAAACGGTGTTAAAGTCTTTTGTAAAAACCCATGTCAGCGTTTCACTTATGAATTTTGCGTAAAACTTTAGGCTGAATGTGTGTTGTACCCTTAATGCCTCTTCTAAAGATGCCTAAATAAATATTTTTTAAAATATATTTTCATGCATTTATTCAGTGCAGAAAAGTAACTCTACCAGTTTTTTAAAAGTAAATGTAAGTGAAATATTGCAATAAGTATTTATATTTCTGTTATTTATCAGAGTTTCTTTTAGCAGTGGCTCCATGAGGCCTTTACATATTCTCCACATGATGCTTTGAAATGTGTAAGATAAGGTAAAAGTGACTTTTAAAACGTTTTAAATCTGTGCACAAAGTTGATTATTTTTGCAGTCGTATTGTTTTAGGAACGCTCCCAGGAAAACCGCTAACGTCTGGAAACACCTTAAAACAATCAGAGTCTTTCCACCTCAGTCATACAAACTAACATTTCTTGAAGGATTTCTTTTTCTTCCAAACATTTAAGAGTCTGGAAAATCTAAATGTTTGCTTTCAGATTATTGCTGCTGACATGAATGCTCCTCATCTTCCTATCTAAATCCAATTCCTGCTCTCAAACTTCTCCTGCAAGCAAATGAATTTTGCAGACGATTTTATTTAGACGTTTCGATGCCGGTCAAACTTTTCCTATTTCTACTTGTCCATATATATTTTCTCATTCTAAATCATTTAGTACTTTGTGTTGGTTTATCAGATTTTCACATGTAGGATTGTTTGACATTTTGTCTTTCTATGTTGTTTAATTGTCTTTTAAATTGTTTTATCTTGTTAACGGCCCATTTGGGGACGTGCATTTCGAATTAGCTCAGGTTGTAAATATTATAGTGTTCTGTTTTTGTTTGTATTTAACAGAAACTAAAGAAAGAAGGAAGATATCAAAGGTGAGGTGAAGCATTAAAGCTTGAGGCTTAAACCGTTTAAGGCACTGTAAAAAAAAATCTAATTAAATAGATCAGAATATATGCTGCTTGAAAATATCAATTTTATAAATTTCACTGGACTTTTAGCTCAGACTAGATTAAATTGAACTTTGTGGCAGCAAATTCTCCAAATGGAGTCTGGTGTGAAGTAAAGAAAAGCACCACTGTTGGGTATGGTGGAGGGTCTGTGATGCTGTGGGCCTGTTACTGTAAAATCTAATTTTGTGCGGTTTGATTTAATAGTAAAAGTGTTTCCTCTGTAGTGCAAAGCAAAAAATATCCTCGTTCGCCTGTTCTCTGTATTTTCCAGTCATCTTCGCAGTTTTTCCATCTTTACAAAATTCAGTAAATGTTTGTATTATTTTCTGCATCAAAAGCTTCTTAAAAGTCCAGAGGATATTTATGAATAATCCAGTCGGAGCTTGTAGCATGTCTCGGTGCAGAATGGCTGAGACGAAGTCAAACTCTTTTCTGTGGTTTCTTAAAAAAAAGGAAAACAGACGTGTCTCCCCTGGGCCTCATCAAAACACTAAATCAAAGCAGAGTCGCTGCAGACGGAGGAATGAAGTCAGGAGAGTTAAAACTATTAAAAGTGCATCATGCAGCCGGTCTGCAGTGAAGAGAAAAAAACATTACAGAAGAGAGGAATCACAAAAGCAAAACAACCACAACACTGGAGCCCCTCTAAGAACATCAGATGTGAGGTCTTGTTTGTCTTAATGTGTGGTTTGCAGCAGATCTGTCTAATATCATGCACTATAAATTTCAAAGTGGGCCGTACCGGTTCAGAAGCCCCTGAGGAGTTTAGGGTAAAAAGGAAAGTCAAATTTCTTTTAATTATGTGCCATTTTTTTTCCTCTCTCTTTTGCAAAATTACTTCCTCGTGTAAATTAAAGAAGATTACCTCTGCAGGCAGGAGAAACAAAGATTTCAAATAAAAACGGCTAATTTCAGGACCTCTTACAGGAAATATGAACATAAAACATCACATCTACTGGAGGCGTTTAAGCTGCTGAAGACAAACAGGCTTTATGCAATGATTTTAGGTTCTTTGTGTCTGTTTTCTGAATATTTTGTAAATGTTAAACATTTGGTCGTCGGATCCCAACTTCACCGAGAAGCAGTGGTCATATCTCAAAAAGTAGGTGGAGAAATTGAAGCTAACGAACTGAAAACTCTTAAGAAAGGCTTCCCCTTGTTCTGGATTCGGCCCAGGCTTGATAAAAAAATAAACTGTAACATGTCAAATACAGACATTTTTAAGATAACCCCCCCCCCAGAAATTTGTGTTTGGGGCTCCTATGTAACAGGTCTGTTGTTTCCTGTTGCTTTAAAGATTCAGACGGCGGCCAGAAACTGGTGGAAACTGTTAGCAGCTGCATTTCCTTTACAAAATGTGTGCAAATCTTTGCCACTGATGTTGAAAAAAACACAATTTTACAACTGCAGACATTAAATGAAAACCTGAATAAACTTGTTTCCTCGACAAGCCATTAAAAATCACAGCAGTGACATTATATTCATATTTCAGCCATGGCGCTAGCGCTCACCATCTATTAGCCGTCGGCGTCTTATTCAGGTGTTGGGGCGACAAGCCCCTTAAATCTGAGAGCGGCTACATTTGCGGCGTTTTGGGGAAATTGTAGATGGTGATCTTACAAAAGAGCGATGAATCCAACACATTGGAATGACACACAATGTTTTATGAACTGCGCGATGCTGTGAGAGCTCTGATGGAGCCAGCTGCTCGTTGTCCAAAAAAAAAAAAAGAAAACACAAAAACAAACCATTATCCACACTCCTACTACTGCTTCCTGTCGTCTTCTTTGTCGTTTCTGCCAGTAATAACATCCAGCTGCTAAATAGAGAGCTTTAATCTGTCAGTCCTGGATTGGAGGAGCGGATTGCTGACCTCAGTCTTGACCTTTCTGTCCTGGTCTTTCCTGGTGTCTCTGCAGGACTCGGAGCAGTGGGACAGGTCGGCTTCACGGGTCGCTGACATCGCATCAGCCTTGATTCGGGACAGGAACCCCGCCTTTGTGGGACAGCTCCTGCAGGCGTGACGAGAGGTGGCGTCAACAAAGCAATCATAAAGACTGAAACCGGATTATTTATGCTGTCAGTGTCTCTAATCCTGCATCAGGCTTAAAGGAAGTTATATTTCTAATTTACATATTGAAAGAAATTTTTGACTTTTACAGCAAACCGATAAACTGAGTCCTACATTTCCCACAATGCTTCTCTGAGCTGTTGTCATGACGCTTTCTCTGTTTCTGTTTTCTCTGACCAGTTGTGTTGCAGTTTTTACTGAAATGTGATTTCATGCAGTTGGACCTGCTTTTGGGGCTCCAAAGACAAAATATAATTAAAAAACATCTTGTTTACAGTAATTCTGAAATATTTCCTTATTTTTCTTAATCGATGGATTTGAAACATTTATCAGAACTTCATCTTCTACTTCCTTAGAAATCAAAGTGTGAAAGTTGTGCAGTTGTCTCTCTTCTGCTAAAGCTAAAGGCATTTTTGGCTCCACAGAAAACCTTAATGACCTCGCAAAGGAAATTATGACTGAGTTTTAAAATCCCTGTTAGTTACATTTTCTTCTTTCTGCTATTTTAGTTGTTGGTTCTCAATTTTTTACAAACTTAAGATATTCATGAGCTTTCGCTGAATCCGAGGATGCGTCTTGTGTGAATGTAAACCAATTACCAGGGACTTTAATATTAAAAAATACATAAATGTTAGAACAACTAGACTTGAAACATAGTGCTGCATTTTCAGTTTTTATATGCAGAAATATCATGTAGCTCACACATAATCATTGAGAAGATTCTGGTCTAATTAGCTGTTTTTAATTGTATTACTGGCAAAAATCAGACTCTAAAGTAATATGCTAACGTAACATAAAGATTTTAAACAGACTTTTGTAACAATTTTAACCTTTAGTACTGTTTAAAAAACATGAGCCAGGAGCAAATCAGACACCAACATGATTTTATTTTGACTCTTTTCAAGATAAAATAACGCATTAGTTTGCTTCTTCATGCAGAGTTTAATATTTTCAGCAGCTGATTTGTGTGTTGGCGCCGACTGCAGCAGGATGGCGTGCATGGAGTCAGAGTTGAAATCAGCTGCAGTGTGTTCATTGTGATGAAGGCGCTTGTTATCACTCGATGCAGCAACGTGGCTCTGATGTGTTTTTAATGCGTTCTGGAGAGAAACAGAACCGTTTGGTACTGATGAATGGCAAATATGTCGAGCTCTGGCAGAGAAGTCATTGTTTTATTCTTCTATTTTCTGGATATACTTGAAGCCTGATTGTTCATTCACAGGGAAAATAATCATGGCTGCAAGATGGAGGAATTTGATCGAGTTTATGTAAAAAGCTCCACTGGTTAACGCTGGACTGTCACACAGCATAAAATGAGACGTTTTAACACGATTCTGCAGATTTCAGATTTTATTTTCTGTGCATTTCTGAGACAGAGGAGTGTTTGGAAACTCCTCTGGGAGTTTGTTAATTCAGTTCTCCTATGAGAAGCACACATAATTACTGACAGTTTTTAAATTTTGACTTTAAGTTCTTATTTTATTTTATTCATTCATTCATTAAACCAGAATCTGCTTCTGATTTTATTCACTATTAAATAAAAAAGAAACTAGAAAGCCTAGTTACTTTCAGGAATATTTTTGCCTCCATTAATAATAAAAAGCCAAGTCCACCTGTGGATTAGGTGAGACAAATGTTTATCATTCTTGAATGGCAGCCGGCGGCCACAAATGGCCGCCAGCGGCCACAAATGGCCGCCGCGCCACACTTTGAACACCACTGCTCTAACAAAACCAGGCTTAGCTCACTTGGGTTTGCCAGTTTAAGAGGGAAACCAATAAAACACAAAAGAACTGGACTTTACTTGCTTTCTTTTGCAAAAATTAACAATAAAAAGTTAAAAGTAGCTCTGAAGAAAAACAAAAATATTATTCTAAAAAATGTTTTTGTGTTTCCTTCAGGAGTCAGTCAGGGAGGTTGACACTATCTACTTTAGAGCTGCGGTTCAAGTCTTTCCTCCTGGATAAAGCCTGGAGTGAGGGGCAGCTGGTGTGAGTCATGCCTTTAGAAAAGCTGCTATAGGCGTAGCTGCTGCAGGGCCGGATGCACTGAGCGCCTTTTCATCACGTCTCCCTTTTATTCTTGGTGTTAATGCATACCATTATTGCTGCTTTGTGTTTCTTCTTTCTCTCGGCAGGTATTTGTTGCCAGCATCGTCTGTGTTTGCCTCAGTCTCCTTCCTGTCCTCTCCACCCCCAGCCGGTCAGAGCAGACCCAAAACTGAGCCTTGTTCTGCTTAAGGTTTTGTTAATGTGTGTAAAATTGATATTTTACACGTTTTTCTATTTCTCTTTGGTTCTCTACTGCTTCTAAAAACTTGGAAAAAAGCACCAAAAAAAAATCACCCAGCTCTTTTTTTGGCAATAAGTTAATTGGGTTTTTTTTTGGGCATGTGAAAAATGAACCATTTCTAAAACCTTCTAAATTTGCCCGTTGCCTAGCAACCCCAGCGGCGTTCCGCTCGTCACCTAGCAACCCAAGCTGAGCTCCCGGACATTTGGTCAGCTGGTTTTACCGCTGAATGCACTGTAAAATGACTGCTGGAAAAGAAACGTGTTTAGTCATTGAGTTACCATCCAGAAACCACTTGCTGCATTCTTGTCAGTTGTGCAGGAGGCCCTACTTCTGCTTTTCAAAGATGTACAGTTGTATAATTGCAAATCTTTTACCACATTTTCATGTGTAAACGTCAAGCTGGGAGGGGAGAGGCCAGAAACAGCTTATTTATTTAAAGTGACAAGAGGCCCTATAGCTGTTCATTTTCAATGGTTTGTTTGCTAACCTGTTCAGTAAAGTATAATAGTTGTCTCAAAAGAAGAAGCAACATTCATATAGGAGACTTTGGCTTGGATCCATGAGGACCCAGGAGTTTTTGTGGATTTTGCTACATTCTCAACTCGTCTCAATTTAGTTTTCTTCTAAATCCGATTGAAACCCATTGAGGATAAACCAACATCTCACATGTTTACAGTAATTACCCAAAATATTAAAACCAGCTGCCGGTTAGCATGTAGGTCCCCGATCTGCAGCCAAAACACCTGTGAGGCATCGAGCCCTGGACTCCAGCAGACCTCCATCAGACTAAGGTTTTGTCAGGAAATCCTGTAAGTTCTGCGATGGGGCCTTCATGGCTCTGACCTGTTTTTCCACCACATACCAGAGACGCTCGATCAGACGGGGATCTGGAGACCAAAGGCCAAAGCAACACTTTGAACGCTTCGTAATGTTCCTACATCCTTCTTTTTAGCATAACATGGCTCATTAATAACACTTTTTATTATTTTTGTGTTACCCTGGTGTGCTCTGCAACATTCTGTTGTCTGATTTCTTGCCACAGCTCATCTTCAAGCTCAAACTCTCTTCCAGGTTATGACATATTTACACACACAACTCTTTCTCTGTCCTGGTTCTTCACTTTTACAGACCTACAGCTTCCAGCATAGTGTTAAAAATTATTGAAACTGCCATGATTTATAACTCAGAGATATTTCACTGGTACAAATGGACATAAAATGACTGCATGAGGGAACACAGTCTCAAAGCGTGTTGTAAAAACATGAAAAACAAGTGATCATCGAATTTAGGAGGCAGTAGGTTCATGTTAAAGGCGCTGACTGGATTCGACAAGGCATTCATACAAGTTGAACTTTTCTGTATATAATTTTATGTTTGTTTTTATTTTATTTCATCTGTATGCATGATTGTGGATGAAATATTATACACAAACATCTTTCTTTTTTAAACAAAACAAATATTTTGGATGGATCAGTCAATCAAGTTTAATTGGAGATGTTCTACAGGCGATAGAAGGCCGACTTTGTTCCTGTCTTTATGTGTCTTTGAATGTTCAGCTCTGAGTCCATCACTGTACCCAGGTTTCGGGCCTGGATAGTGTCTGTGATTTGAAATCTGACTTTCCATTCTGGCATTTTGTGTCCTCAGCTCCACTGCAGCCACACAGGAAGATGAAACTGAACCGAACTGCTGCGTTTGTGAACATATTTAATTTCTTTGTATTTGGTGACACCTGGTGGATAGACTAGATATGACTGGGTAGGCACTGCCTCAACTTGGCTTTTCTGTAGTTCTTTGGGGTGTGGCAGACATTTTGGATGTAGTTCCTACTAAGAGAAGACTTGCTGAAGACCATTTTAAAAATGTATTGCAGTTATTTGAGAAACGCTGTAATTTATTAGACGAAACATTACAATTTAATTGATCCTTTCAGACTCAGTTTGATGAACTTTTGTTGTTTTCTTAGATGCAAGATGTAAAAATGAAAATATTGGTCACAAAATAAATTCTAAAAAGTACTAGAAATGATCTGAAACTGTAAGCTTTCCGACATCTGATGCTGTTATTTTTTTAATAAGTGTCCTGCTGCTCTATTATTAAATTGAATATAATTTCAGATTGCTGTATAATTTTAACTTTGGCAGCAGAGTTAAACCATCTGGGAGCAGATGTTTTAACTGTGCTCTTCATAGTTGCCGTAACGGACTCTGACGTAGCCAAGCTGCTAACCCAAGTGAGAAATTATGGCTGCCGCGTTTCTGGCATTGCTGCCGTTCTTAATGCAGACCGAGACCAACACCAGATCTCGCCGTTTCATTCTCTGCAGGTCTTCCTTCGATCCGTAACGTTGAGCTCATCCCAACCGTCTCACCGGTTTTTCCCCACACAAGACATTTTGAGATGCCTTGAACCTAAATTTAGGTTAATCTTAGCTGAAAGAATCCCAGACGTGAATCTTGGACAAAGTTTCATGCCTGCTTTTGTCAGACTTGGGGCTCAAAAAGAGAAACCACAAGGGAAAAAAATTGTACTTTTTCCTAGAGACCAGAAAACAAACAGAGAGGGGAAGTCGGAGCAGCTGGCTGAGAAAATGAGGAGTTGAGATGCCAAAATGCCAAGTGCAATAATGTTGGCATTAATACAGGAGGGAAAATGCTCATAAATTTGGCCTTGTTAGGTCGCTGCAAACCCAAAATACCTCCTGATGTGCCTGGATTAAAATTAAACATCTGTAAGACGCTGTGGCAAGGAGTACATTTAGACTGGTGTTCACTGGGACAGCTGTTGGACTTTTATTTCTAAATTTGTTGCACTCCAGGGTTGTTTTTTTTTTTTTTTTTTGCTGACTGTCCCTGAGTAGGAGGTTTGTTGACAACAGCGCCCTCTGGTGGAACTTGCCAACCAGTCGAATTGTAAAAAGGAAGGAAAGGGGAAATATTTACAGAAATCTGAAATGCTTTTACAAAGAAACTTCGCTGCTCT